TCCAGCTAATTGCCGGCCTAGGCACGCTAATGGCTAGCCTCTCCAATGCTAACACCAGCCCGTCCAGGCTAACACTAACCTATCCATGCTAATAGACAGCAGAGGGAGTGTGTGAACCAGTCAATGACCAGCAGAGGACTGCTAGTCCCAAGCGTATCTAGTAGTAACGCCGGTAGGTGCTATTCCTCAGTAAGCAGCGCCAGCCTCTCAGTTACCGGTGCCAGCTTATCATTAATCAGGTTGGTAGTTTGCTATATAGCCTCCTGCTGCTGGGCAGTAGTCTTAATTTCAGCCCCCGTACCACACCATAGACTTTAGGGATGACCCGGAGACACCTGCCAGAGGAGCGCAGAGGCCATGAGGGTTCATATGGTAAAAGCAGTTCTGAGAGATAAGAAGGCCCAAGACCATTAAGACAAAAACCATTAGAAGAACCTTTAAATTGATCCTGAAACATACAGGGAGCCAATGCAATGACACTAAAACCAGCGAAATGTGCTCCCGCCTCCTGGTCTTCGTCAGGACCATAGACTGTACATACACGGTCGGGACACGTGGAGACATGGTATTCTGAAGGCTGACTAAATAAAATACCTTTAAAAAGGTTCACAAGACTTGTGTTTTATCATATAGCACTTCTTTATTTATTACTTCTCCTCCATTTCTACGTAGAACGTGCTGGAGACGTGATAACATTCTTAATTTGATTTAAACTCGACTGAGATTGGACCGCCAGCTGTTTTAAATAAAGTTCTGAAACACATGACACAGCTGTCCCACATAATTACTCCGGTAGTTATTATTTACCCACCACTGGGTTTAAACACTTGACGTCAGCGTTTCAGCTTGTTTCAGACATTCGGAGCTTAGCAGAGATTTCCAGTTGATAGCTTATCTTCTAGTTCAGCTTCTAGTGTATTAATAAAACGGAGAAACTCTTCTAAAAACAACAACCCAAAAGGGTAACAAACATCTCTGTGTGCTGTTTTAGACAATCTACGTGCACAGTCCGGTGTGTGGTGCTCGTGCTCCGGATTAAACTGGTTTATCTGTGACAGGAGTCAGAGCAGCTCTGTGCAGGTGGTACAAGCGATAACATTTTAATCTTATTTTCAAAAAGAGGAAACAGCAGGCGAAGGCAAAACTCTCTGTGTGCAGGTGTGTTTGAAAAAGAAAAGAAAATGGAACTAAAGCCGTGCTTCTGTTATCTCGTCTTTTTCAAGTTTGAACTCAATAACAAAGGAAGTTATCTGTGACGAAGAAAAGGGAAATGCCGACTCTGCTGAATCTGCAGTCCGAGAAGGTGCTTGGTGTGGGAGGCCGGCTGTGAAACTAGTCTGTCTGCTCACAGCTGAGCGTGTGGCGATACGGAGTTTATAAATATGTTTGTGTGTGCTGTCTGACCAAACCGGTCGGTGCAGTGCGGGCAATTATATAGACTCGAGTAAATTAGATTATTAGCTTAATTCAATCAGGGGAGTAAGCGTGAACACCAGTTGCACTGGATTCATGGTGAGATTACAAAAGGTTGAGAACATCTGTAACTGGTGACTCAAACACATTTATTCATTTGTAAAAAATGAAACTGAAGCCAGCTCTGTGTTTTCTCTGAAATGCTTTAACTAACGCGAAAGGAAATGACACAAAGACCGACCGAGTCATGATTTGGTTGTTGCAGGACCCAAGGTGCAGGTAAATGCTACAGAGGTGGGCTGGCATGAACTGGAGATGGCAGAAGGAGCAAGAGTGAAACACAACAGGAGACTTTGACATGTGGTGTTGTCTTCTTCTTCTTCTTCTTCAGTGAGGGAGGCAGGCTAGATGCCCATGAGGCGTATTGCTGCCACAGCCGCCCAAACACACTGCCAAAGAGCGTCACAGCCTCTCATAAACCCCCGTCACATGCAGAAACCACATAAGGGCCCACACCCTACGCCGGTCCTCCGCACCCAGCAAGGTCCGCAGAGAAAGCACTGACAGACCCGTAGCCCTCAACCTCCGAAAAAAGGCCTCCCTCTCGCGACCATATCGCCCACACTGCAGAAGAACGTGGCACACAGACTCGGGCTCCCCACAATCACCTCCCGTCCATGTTTCCCCACCAAAAACAGTCCGCTTCGAAGATCACAATGACCCAACCTCAACCAAGTGAGGACCACCGCGTCTCTCCTCCGAAGATCAAGGACCGACCCACAGCCACCCACCAAACGATGTAACCCATAAAAGCCCCTACCCAAAACCCCACCATCCCACGATGCCTGCCACAATCTCATGGCCTCCCTGCCTATCGCTGAACAATACTCAGGAGAGCCCATGGCAACCTCCAGGTCCACAACAGTACTCCTCAGCACCGCCTTGGCCACAGAGTCCACCCTCTCATTGCCCACCATCCCCACATGGGCAGGAACCCAATCAAAACAAACTTCACAGCCACAAGCCCGCAGATCATGCAGCATCACCCTGACAGAAATCACCAGGTCTGGCCTAGAGCCAGAGCCTGACAGAGCCTCCAACACAGCAGCTGAGACAGAGCAGATAACAGCACGCTCCACGACGCTCCTTGACCCAACGCAAGGCACATAAGATAGCCACCAACTCAGCCGTGAACATGGAACAATGGTCCCGGAGCCGACAACCAAAGCTGAAGCACAGGTGCGGGACCACCAAACCCACCGCCACCCGACCACTATCAGGATCCTTAGAGCCGTCCGTCTACAGCTGCAAACGAGAGCCCCACTCCAACCCCATTAAATCCTGAAAAGCACCAGCCACCCCACCATTACGGCATCGCCCCAAAAAGGTAAAATCCACCTCCGGTACAGGCAGAAGCCAGGGCGGAACATCAGGCCAGACCAGGCGCGAACAGACAGGCCAACCTAGGAAGCCCAAGGCATCCGCTCTGCCCGCAACCGGGCAGAAAATCCACCCTCACCAAACCGACCCCGCCCTCCAAACTCCCACTGCTGGCCCAGCAGGCCCGAAGCAGGAGAAGCATAACCCATACCCCTGACCCTCAACAGGTACTTGACATGTGGTGACGACCACGGAAGGCTTAAATAAACTGAGGTGGGTGATTACAGACAAGGAACAGGTGAGCTGAATGCTGGTTGGGAGCAGGTGTGACCCAAAGCTGAGCAGAAAGCCAAATCAAAACAAACGAATCGACACAACTTCAGCAAAAAAGAGCTCATACTGTTTCATATTATTCTCATTTTGACTTCTTAATTAAGTTTTTTAAAAGAGTAAAAGTGAAACTAACCTAGAGATTTTAAACGTGGCTTTCAGAACATTTTAGATGAGCCCTCCTCGAGCTCTGCTAACCCTCTAAAACCTCCACTCACCTGAAAAAAACCTGTTACATCCACTACTGGTGATGAGAATCCCATCAACTGGGAGTGCTGGTCGTAGGTGGAGGTGGGCTGGTTGTGAGGGCGGTGAAAAGACTGCATTCAACATATTTGCCAATGATTCCCAAAAACACTGATGAGGGTTTTGCTCTATGACTCATGCAAAATGCCTAAGAGCAACACACACACACACACACACACACACACACACACTAGACTGACAGATGAGCCGAGTAGGAGGATGAGAGCATGAAGGTACGCAGTGAACCTTTTCTTTTGATTTTTTGCCATGGTTGCTGGGCTTCATCCACTCCACGTTCCAAGTGCCACGTGTGCAATGACACGTGCACGATAGTTTACACCATGAACTCATTTAGAGGATCTTCTTCAAATAAAGTTCTCATATTTACTAAAAAAAAAACATAAAAACAATTGACAGATGCTGTTTCTCTACTTTAACAGTTTAATTGACATTTCTTTTTTGTGTGCACTGACTCAAAATAGGAAGAGAAAGGTCCCTGTTGCTGCGCTAGCTTACCGTATTTATAACTTCGTCATTTGTTCCAGTTTTTATGAAATTGTGATGAATGTTTTCTTGGTTAAACGTCTCTGTTATACATTCAGATGTCTTTTCACGATTGAAAATCAATGATTACATATTTTATTTAAATTATTATGAATAAAGGTTTTATTTTTAAATGTTTTGCTCCTTTTGAGGTTTCGTAACTAGATTCTGTACAAGGTTTCTCATTTTTGAAAAGACAACACTGTTTGCTCATCTATCTCAGTCATCATATCAATTTATTATGAAATTCTACAAATCAAGTCAAACTTCTGTCTATTTCTTTATTTTTCTCATTTTTAAAACATTCTTTGTTCAAATATCAATCGTCTTTTTGTCCATTCAACTATCGCATCTCTTACCAAGTTTATAGCCTGATTGTAAATTCAATAAAACTTAAAGATTAAGTCACCCCCAAATCAGCTTTTTTTTCAATTTACCAATAAAGTGTAATAATGTTATCGTTATTTTAATATTTAAAATGTAATAACTCAGCTTAAAATTTCCAGTGTAGCGCCCTCTTCAGGTTAAAAGTGTGCACTACAGGTGAACTCCAGTCAGCCATGCTGTTGGCTGAGCTTGACAAGGGCCCAATCCCAATACTCGCACTGCACCCTTCGATCTTCTGTGAAGCACACTTGGAGGAAGTATGTAGTAAGGCTTCGAGTGCGTGGTAAACAAGTGTGTAAATGCAGAATTAGGACAGGGAGCATTGCGTCAGTGACCGCAACACTTGCCGGGATGCTGGATGCTATGCTCAAAAAACAAAAAAATAACAAAAAGCCTTTATTAACAACTTTCATACAAACAATTAGAAAAGGCACTTGAAGTTTTTCTCCCGCAGCAATGGATTGTGGATAATACACTTCGCCCAAGTCCGCATCGATTCACATTTGGGTGGCGTGGTTCAAGTGTCGGATCAGCTTCCGCACTTGAGAACTTGGACACCCTGTGCACTCACATCCTTGGCTGGGATCGCACAACTGAAGGGCACAAGTGTGGAAGTGCGAGAATTGGGATTGGGCCAACGTAACATTGCCAGTACCATGTGACATGGTAGTCACCAAGTCTTTCTCCTTCCTTTCTTTTAGTGATGGACGTGGAGAAAAATCCTGGCAGGTAGGAGGGAGTGGGTGATGCTGTCAGTCACTGCCGCAGTGGTGTCCTCTCGGTCTGCCAGGAAAAGTCTTCTTCGGGGTCATTTTTCTACCTGTTTATGAAAAGGAAGTGTGGATGGAGTAAGATTGGTATGGGGTGACTAGATCTTTAAGTCTTTCCTTTTCTTTTTTTGTTGTTGACATAGACATGCTTTACTGGTCAATCTATGTCCCGACTCTCACTTACGGTCATAAGCTTTGGGTAATGGCCAAAAGATTGTGGACACAAGTGGCCAAAATTAGTTTCCTCTGGAGGCTGGCTGGGCTCAGCCGTAGAGATAGAGTGAGGAGCGCGGACATTCCGGAGGAACTCGGAGTAGAGCCACTGCTCCTCTGCATCGACAGGAGCCAGCTGGGGTGGTTTGAGCATCTGGTCAGGATGCCTCCTGGACGCCTTCCTGGGGTGGAGTTTTGGGCATTTCCTGCCAGCAGGAAGCCCCCAGGTCGACCCAGGACACGTAGGAGCAAGTAGATCTCCAATCTGGCCTGGGATCGCCTTGGGGTCCTGCTGGAGGAGTTGGTGGAAGTGGCCGGGACGAGGGCTGTCTGGGATGAACTGCTTGAGATGCTACCCCGCGACCATCCTTCATACACAGCATATGATTTATGGAACCTCCCACTGTCCTCGTTTCTCTCACCTCTTGAACCTCCTCTGATGTTAATCCACCTGCAGCCAAAAGATGACTGCCAACAACAGCTGGACATTTAAAAGGATCATTTTGATTAGTCAGTTTAGGTGTAGGCTGTTGCCCACTGCTTTGGTTCTCACTGTGCTGTTAACTGCGATACGACCTCTCCGTGTCCATGTTAAGGAAATGAAAATATTTATTCTATTTATGACACTTATTAGCTCTGAAGTCCCAAACTGTGATGAAAATATGTGGTAAAAGGCCTGTATTTGTATAGTGCCTTCTTAGGGTTCTACAACCCCCCAAGGCGCTTCACAACACAACCAGTCATTAACCCATTCTCTCTCTTGCCAAGCAAACAGAATTCTGTTTGCTCTTGTGAAGCAAACCCAATAGACAATGTGAGGGGCCACAGATCTGCCCCCTAAAGATGTGCAGGAGATGGAGGGAGCTCCAAGTCCCAGAGATCCAGGAGCTGCCCCAGAGCACAGGAATCCCAGGGAGACTGCGACCAGAAAAGCCCCCGCCCCTCTCGAGAGGCGCAGAGGATCGCCCCGGGGGGCCACAACCAGCAGCCGGCAGAGTCCCGGGAGACATCGGCGGCAAGCCCACAGGCCCACCCACAGCCTCCCAACCCCTAGCCGGCCGAGCCCAGGACCAAGCGACCCGGGACCCCGGGGCGACCAACCCCGCCGGGGACCCAGCAGAGCCCAGGGTCCCAGACCCCACCAGACAGCTACTGGGATTGATCAGGCAGATGCCAAAAATCTTAAACCCCCTGACCCGGGAGAAATGACCCAGGCAGACCAAGGCACCGCACTCCACACCAGGTGTGGCAGGGGGAGGGGAGACGAAGATCTATATCATCAAAAGAAGTCCCAGGAGAAGGGAGGAGTCAAAGGCCCCACCTGACATATACAGTCATACACAAACACAGTCACACACTCCCTCCCTCATGCTTACACATACACATACAACCAAAGACTTTCAAAAATGCATGCCGGACACCCACTCATGCTCCCCATACACACCCTATTCACTCTGGTCCCGGTACTGCTGCACATGGGGTACAACCATTACCGGTTCCCAGAGTTCGACCCTTTCTGCTGGGGTGCTGATGAGCAGGCTCCCCCACCCAATGCTGAGCACAGCAACCCACCACCCCAGACCCTAACCGGACGGCCAGATCTCCCTCCTAGCCTCCAGCCCCAGGAAGCCAAGCGACGACAGAGGTGTGCTAAGACCCCTAGTCTCCCTCCGCCTGCTCCACTATGGTGTTAGTGAGTGTTGATGAGGTGTATTCTATGGCTGTGGTGAGCGAGCAGTGCAGGCATCGTCTGGCCTATGCCAGCGGATGCCACCGCACCGTCCCACTTGCACCCACAGCCCTCAGTGTCGAAGTGCAGTTTAAAATTGGAAGTGGGCACCGGCACTTGGGACGAGGCTGAGAAATCCCCCTGCCAACTGCTGTTGAATGTGCTCACTCCCAAGGCCCTAAGTGTGTGTTTGCACAGAATGTCGTTGGTGGAAGTGTTTAAGGTGCAAATAAAATTGGGGGGCAGGTTGCCACAGGAATGTGGAAATGGGGTCCATGCCCGCACTCCCTTACTTGTCCACCCCCCAAGGTCCTATGTGCATGTTTGTGTGATGATGTGAGGAAGCAGGAAGAGAGAAATGTGTGGTGATGGGGAGGAATGGCTGGTTGGGCTTAGCCCTCCAGGGAGCCAGCTCCCCCACTGGCCCCAATAGGCACCTCTGTTGTCAAAATGCCACACAGGGCATGGAGACCCCAGCCCATCCTGCCTGGGCCCAAAGCGGCAGCATCACAGAGCCTCACGGAGTCCGAGGGCACCAACCCAGCCCCACCCCAGCAGAATATCCACGCCCATCCCTGCATTTGCACAACTTCCAGATTATATAAGACATAGGACATCCAGGTAAGGTTGGGTCCTCCCCCTCCTGGACTTCCCCCTCCCCTGTGAAGGGACAGCAGAGGAGCCAAGGTCTACCTGAGGCCCATGAATCCGAGCCAGGCACTGCTGCATGTTCCTGCCTTCTCCCCGGCAGCATACATGTCAGGACCCGACCCCAAGGCCCCACCCGGATCCCCCTATGGGGCCGGCCACTCCCACACCCTGAGCCCCCAGGCCCCCACCCAAACCCGCCCAGGGGCAATGCAGCTGCCGGGCAGTGACCCATGACCACCCCCAGTGAACCCACCTCCAGGGAACTACCAGATACTCCAAACTTAGACCCTCCACCCCCTCAACCACATCATCCCGCAGGACAATATCAATGGTCCCCCGTCATCGCTATGTGATGGAACCGATCAAAGGAGCCCAGAGAGATTGATTTGAAGTGGAAGCAGAGGCTATATCAAGTGTAATATGATCTAACAAAAGATTTCTATACTGGTTGATGCAAAGAGTATCTCTATTTTTCAATTCAGTTCAATTCAATTTTATTTATGTAGTGCCAAATCACGACAAGAGTCATCTCAAGGCACTTCACACAATAAACATTCCAATTCAGGTCAGTTCATTAAGCCAATCAGAAATAATGTTTCCTATATAAGGAACCCAGCAAATTGCATCAGCAATCCTCATACTAAGCAAGCATATAGCGACAGTGGAGAGGAAAACTCCCTTTTAACAGGAAGAAACCTCCAGAGGATCCTGGCTCAGTATAAGCAGTCATCCACCACGACTCACTGGGGATCGAGAAGACAGAGCAGACACACACACACACACACACACACACACACACACACACACACACACACACACACACACACACACACACACACACGCACACGCACGCACGCACGCACGCATGCACACACAAACACACAACAAGCAATGTGTCTATGGTTACATTGTGATTTCTTAGTAAATATTCTATTTGGTGAGAGATAAACTTTAGTGTATTTATCCTAGTGAATCTATAATTAAACGGGTAAACTAGTAGTAGCACATCCAACGTCAAGGAAAGCAAAAAGTTATTATCAGGAGAGGGAGAATGTTTAAGTGGTTAGCAGCAGTGTGCTAGTCGATGGTCCCCTCCATGAGGCCACCACAGCTCAGCAGAACATCATTGTAGCTTGTTCTGGGTAGAAACACACTTAGAGAAAAAATAAAGTTAACAGCTGAAATAGCAGGAAATAATACAGTTAAAGAGCAGATTGTAGAAGAAGGTAGTAGAGTGTGAAAAGTGGCCAGTGTATCCTCCAGCAGTCTAAGCCTATAGCAGCATAACTACAGAGATAACTCAGGATAACCTAGCCTTTTTAGATGGACGCATGTTGGAGGCAGGGCAAGGGAGAGCCGTCTTTACCGACTGTACACTCCACCTCCCTTTACTCCCCCACTTGTCCAGATCTAGGCTAACATTGTGGGCATGTTGGCGACAACAACATCAGGTTAATGGATAAATATAACTGAATATCGTCAAGATAACAGTGAACGTTTATCCCATGCTGTCTAATGATTTTACAAATTGGGATCATATATATAGTAAAAAGAATTGGTCCAAGCACTGAACCCTGTGGTACTCCACAAGTAACCCTGGAGTATGAAGACGATTTGTCATGTACATTTACAAAATGAAATCTATCAGACAAGTAGGATTTAAACCAGCCTAGCTCTGTTCCTTTGATCCCTACAGCATGCTCAAGTCTTTCTATAAGACAATTGTGATCTACTGTGTCAAAAGCAGCACTGAGATCTAACAAGACTAGAACAGACACAAGATTCTTATCTGAGGCCATGAGAATATCATTTGTAACTCACTAATGCAGTTTCTGTCATGGTCCGTGGTGAGCTGCCTACCTGTAACCCTGCTTTTTCCCTCTGAGCATTGTTTCACAGGTGGACGTGTCTGAGAGCTTCCAGATGCAGCTGATTCCATCATCAGGGCCCAGGGGATTTAAGGACCAGTGTGACACTTCACCACGCCGGATGATTACTCTGTTTGGGTAGCTCTAGCCTGATTTTGTATTTGTATCTCATTCTAGTTAACCTGCCACCTGAAATACCTGAATGCCCTTCCCTGTTCTCCTCCAGGTTCCTCTTCATTTTTCCTCATCTCCAGAACAAACCCGGATCTCAGCATTCCAGACCACACTGCTTCCTCCCCTGGCCACCCACCCTCAGCCGCTCACCTGCCATCATCCATTCCTGCTCATACGCCTCTGGATAAATCAATTCCCTCACCTTCTGGATCTCCTCAAGCTCACCCGGAGACCAAACCCTCCCTGTACGTTTCTCCACTACCAGGAAACAGTAAGCCTAGTCTCCAGATAAGTCCATTATTTCCACCCTATACTCTTGTCTCCCTCTTCAGAATCTCCTCCTGGAATCCTGCTGCCAGTTCTGCACTTCTTCGGTTCCCGTCTCTCCCTTAGCTCCTCAATAATAATAAAACCTTTTACACACTTACCTGTTTTCTGTGAAGTGATTCTGCATGTCGTGGGTCAAGAAATTGCCACCCAACATGACAGTTTCAGAACTGTGATACTCTCTAAAACCAGACTGAAATTCCTCAAACAGAGCATCAGTGTTTACATGCTCACATACTTGGATGGCCACTATTTTCTCCAGGACTTTGGATAAAAATGGAAGGTTAGATATTGGTCTATAATTCCTTGGGTCATCTGGATCCAGAGAAGGCTTCTTAAGTGAAGGTTTGATTACAGCAACCTTAAAATCCTGTGGTACATATCCATTTACTTAGGATAGATTGATTATATCTAGACTGGGGGCAGTAACCAAAGGAAATGCATCTTTAAATAATTTGGTTGGGATTGGATCTAAAATACAAATTGAAGGTTTAGATGAAGCTAATATTTTTGATAAATCTGAAAGCTCAACTGGATCAAAACAATTCAAACACAGATGAGGTTCTACAGTCACCTCTGATGCTGCCTCACTTACTGAGGAAGAAGAAATTGCATTAGGGAGGATGCTAAAGATTTTGTTTCTAGTAGAATTAATTTTACTTGTGAAAAATCCCATAAAGTCATTACTGCTGAGGGCTAAGGGAATAGATGGCTCAGAGCTATGATTCTGTGTAAGTTTGGCAACTGTACTGAAAAGAAATTTAGGGTTATTTTTCTCTTCAATTAACGCTGAGAAATAAGCAGTTCTAGTTTGTCGAAGCTTATTTTTACACACTCTATGCCATAAGTCAGCACAAGGTAAAATGTATGATGGCAGGAGTGGGTGGAGCTATGTATTCTTTGAGTAAAACCAATTGAGTAAGATATTACTAAAGACTACATTGAGGCTATCATTTTCAATGTCCACATGAATGTTAAAATCCCCCACTACAATGACCTTATCGGTATTTAGCACCAAATCAGATAAAAAATTAGAGATCTGATCCAAAAACTCAGAGTAAGGGCCTGGTGGATGATATATAGCTACAAACAGGAGTGGTTTTACAGTTTTGCAATCTGGATTAGGAAAACTAAGAATAAGATGTTCGAACGAACTGTAGCTATTAATTGGCAAGGGATTGATTAATAAGTCAGAATGAAAAATGGTTGCTACTCCTCCTCCTCGCCCTGTACTTCGAGCAATATGATGATTTAAATAATTAGAAGGAGTCGACTCGTTTAAACTAACATAGTCCTCTTGCTGCAGCCAGGATTCTGTGAGAGAGAGCAAAGAGATCTGATTATCACAAATCAAGTCATTAACTAACAAAGTCTTAGAAAAAATAGATCTGATGTTCAACAACCCACATTTAACTTTTATAGTTTTCTGCTCAGTTGAATTTGTTCTAATATTTATGAGATTTCCATGGTTTGCTTTATTAAGCCTGATATTTAATCTGTGTGATTTTGGCCGTGGGCAGGACACTGTCTCTATGGGGTAGTGGGTGGGTAACAGTACAGAAGCTGCAGAGGGGTGGGTTAAACTATGACTCTGCTTCCTGGTCTGGACCCTGGGTTGTCATGGAGGACTAATAAAACTGACCATGTTCCTAGAAAGAAGAGCTGCTCCATCCAAAAAGAGATGGATGCTGTCTCTTCGCATCAGACCAGGTTTTCCCCAAAAGGTTTTCCAATTATCAATGTGGCCTACGTTGTTTTCAGGACTCGGGTTCTGCTGGAGGATCGCTACGGGGTGGTTCTGAGCTAGTTAGCCCAGCACTAGCTAAGTAGCTACGGCTGTTTACAGGCTTTTCAACAGCGCGGAGCCGGGCCTCCAATTCTGACACCCTTGCCTCCAAATCTACAAAAATGCTACATTTATTACACGTACCATTATCACTAAAGGAGGCAGAGGAGTAACTAAACATTTGACACAGAGAGCAAGAGATAGGAGACGGAGAAGCATAGAAAGAAGTAGCCATAGCCGTGCTGAGGCTTAGCTAACTGGACGAGCAAACTGTTCAACACCAAATAAACTGCGTGCGAACTCAAATGGTTCCCTAAAAGCTAGGTGGAACAACAGAAAATGTGTGTTTTAGCGTGCTTATGTGCTACAATAACTCAGATATCCTAGTACAGAGAAATTAAATCAGTTTTAGCAAGCCACAAACACCAAACAGCTACACGTAGTGCAACACTGAAAACAGGAAACAGGAAACGCCTTACCGCCAGGGACTTCACAGCTGAATTCAAGAGGATAGTTTTCATAGTGATGCATATGGCAGTCAGAACCACATGAGCCAAAGATGTTTCAATCGGGACATCGTCCGGGTTTCCCATTAAACAAAGAAAGGGGGCGGTTGGGATATGACATTTCAGACACTTTGACAGGTCTTCACATACTCTACCCCAAAATTCCTGGACAGGTAGACAGGACCACAGTGCGTGAATGAAATTGTCAGGAATGTTGTGTGTGCAGTGTGTACAGGTGTCAGACGACACAAAGCCCATCTTGAACATCCGATGACCTGTATAGTGTACTCTGTGTAGAATTTTGTACTGAATTAATTGTAAATTGGAGTGTCTGATCATTTTAAAAGTTTTTAAACAAGTTTGGGACCAGAAGTTCTGGTCAAAGCTGACTGATAGATCCAACTCCCATTTTTCAATAGGGATTGCTATTCTATCGTCTATTTTGGACAGTGTCTTATATGCTTTAGACAGTAGTTTGGGGGGTTTGTGATTAAAGAAGTCTAATACCCTTGGTGGTGTTTGTAATTCTATTTTATTGAACTTAAATTTTTGTTTGACTACAGATTTAATTAGGTGATATTCTAAAAAGCTATTCCTACTATTCCAAATTGGGAGACTGTTCTATTAAATGGGATGAAGTCCAATCCTTCATATATGTGTTCCAGGTATAGGATTCCTTTATTTTTCCAGTCCGGAAGGTTCATCAATTTATTATTTTGCAAGATTTCAGGATTATTCCGGATAGGTGTGCATCTGCATGGTGTTAGTGAAGACTCTGTCATTTTTAGATACTCCCACCATGCTGTCAGAGAGGTGCTGATATTAATACTTTTGAAGCCTTCGTGTTTTCTTATGCTTGAGCTTAACAGGCTCATAGAAGTGGTAAGTCTGAGAGCTCTATCATATTGCAAAGTGTCTGTTCTATGTCTAACCAGGACTCATCTAGTGGGTTATCTTGCTACCATCTTGGTATATATTGCAGCCTGTTGGCTAAGAACTAATAATAAAAGTTGGGTAAATCCAGTCCTCCTTTGTCTTTGGTCTTCTGAAGTGTTTTTAAGCTAATTTGTGGAGGTTTATCCTGCCAAAGGAATTTGGTAATTGAGGAGTCTGGAGATTTAAACCAGTCAGCGGGTGGTTTGTTTGGGATTATTGAAAATAAGTAATTTATTCTGGGTAAGACCATCATTTTAATTGTTGCAACCCTCCCCATGAGTGATATCGGCAAGGATTTCCATCTCGCAAGATCATCTTCCACTTTCTTTAAAAGTGGGATGTAGTTTAGTTTGGTTAGATCTGCCAACTTGGGAAAGACATTAATTCCCAGGTATGTGATATTCCATGACTCCAGTTGTGTATTAAGTAAATTGACAAAAGAGAAATTAATTGGTAGAACTGTGGATTTTAACCAGTTTATAGAGTAATCTGAAACTTTTGAAAACGAGTTAATCAGTTCTACTGAATGGGAGAGAGAGGATTGAGAATTCTGGAGAAAGAGTAAAACGAAAGAGTAAAACATCATCCGCATAAAGATTGATCTTTTCTATTTTTTTTACACTTTATCCCTTTAATACCTGTTGTTTGCCTAATTGCTGCTGCTAGTGGTTCGATAAAGATAGCAAACTGTGAGGGTGAGAGTGGGCATCCCTGCCTGGTCCCCCTCTGAAGACAGAAGCTAGCTGATATTTGGTTGTTTGTCCTGACTCGTGCAGTTGGCGAACTGTATAATGTTTGTAGCCAGTTTATGAAGACGTTCCCATAACCAATTTTTTGTAAAGTTGCAAATAAGAACTTCAAGTTAACTCTATCAAAAGCCTTTTCTGCGTCTAGAGATAATATTCTAGTTTCTATGTTTCTACGGTAAGAGAAATCTATCAAATTAAGTAATCTACGTGAGTTTGTGGATGACTGTCTACCCTTGATGAAACCAGTTTGGTCAGGTTGTATTATGAAGGGGGTTACCTTCTCTAATCTTTTGGCCAGGGCTTTACAAATTATTTTGAGATCAACATTAATAATAGAAATTGGGCGATAGCTGGTAGGAAATGCAGGGTCTTTGCCTGGTTTTAACAAGAGACTAATATTGGCTGAGTTCATGTTTGGCTGTAATCTGCCGCTCTCTTTGATTTCCCTCACCATTCTGAAAAATGTTGGAGCCAGAATGATCCAGAATTCTTTGTGGAACTCTGCTGGAAACCCATCTGGACCTGGAGCCTTCCTATTAGTCATGGACTTAAGGGCTTCCTGGAGCTCAGCTGATGTTAGTGGCGAGTCCAGGACTGCAACTTGGCTGTCTGATAATTTAGAAAGTGTTATCCTGTCAAGGAACTCATTGATCTCGTTATCTGATGGGTTTATCTGTGGTGAGTACAAAGTTTGGTAAAAGTCTCTGAAAATGTTGTTTATGCGTTCAGGGTCATAAACTATACTCCCGGTTGAGTCTTTAACAGCAGATGTGGTAGTTTTCTCTTTATTTATTTTTAACTGGCTAGCAAAAATTTACCTGATTTATTACTATGTTCAAAGTTTTCTATTTGTAGTCTTTGTGCTAAAAATTTACTTTCACCCAATCTCAACACACTGCGCCCTGTGGTCTTCAGCAAAGTGCAGTTTGAGAAAGTGTGCAGTAGGGTTCGAGTGCATAGTACACAAGTGTGCAAATAATTGCAGAATTGAGACGGGGAGCGTTGTGTCCTCGATCGCAACGCATGCCGGGATGCTGGCCGCTGTGAAACTTTTTCAAAAACTTTAACAACTTTCAAACAAACAACAAAGCAATTATTTGAAATAAATTTAACTTCATTCCTGCTTTGTCTAAAACATTCAAAATCAACTAATCGTCCTAAAATGAACTAATTTCATTAGAAAATACAGATTTCCAGAAAAGGAACTTGAGCCGTTTCTCCTGCAGCAATGACTTGTGGGTAATTCCCTTGCCCGAGGTGCGCATCTCTGCGGACTTGGGTGAAGTGCAGATTAAGGGTCAACTTCCGCATTTGAGAATCGGGACACCCTACGCACTCGCACCCCTGGCCGGGAACGCCAGGTGGTAGAGCGGATTGCCTCATGATCGGAGGGTCATGGGTTCGATTCCAGCTCCCTGTTGTGTCCTTGGGCAAGACACTTCACCCAACTTGCCTGTGTTAGTGGTGGTCAGAGGGGCCGACGGCGCCAAATGGCAGCCTCACCTCTGTCAGACCTCCCCAGGGCGGCTGTGGCTACAAGTAGCTTACCATCACTGGCAGTGTGTGAATGTGAGAGTGTGTGAAAGCGTCTTTGGGTGTCTAGAAAAGCGCTATATAAATTCAATGCATTATTATTATTAAAGGGCGCGAGGGTGCAAGTGCGAGTATTGGGATTGGGCCATTCACCCATTCACACTCTGGTGGCGATGATCTATGATGTAGCCACAGCTGCCCTGGGGTGCACTGACAGAGGCGAGGCCTGCTGGACACTGGCGCCACCTGTCCCTCCGACGACCACCAACAGGCAAGGCAGGTTAAGCCTCTTGCTCAAGGACACAACATACAGCAGCAGTCTCTGGCGGGAGCTGGGATTGAACCTGCACCCTTCCGATTACTGGACAACCCATTCTACCTGGGACAGCAGCAGCTCAGAAGGTAGGTGTCGAGTAATCAGAAGGTTGCAGGTTTGATCCCAGCTCTGACCAGACAATGCTGCTGTTGTGTCCTTGTCCATACGCAGCAAATGTGTTGATTAAACAAACGTCACACACCTTTTTTTACATGATGAACAAATGATGGCGGTGAGGAAGTAATGTCGCAGGGAGGTGGAAACACGTGCTTTTATTTGAGCGCAAACAGCTGCTTCTTTGCCTTGATTTTCTCTTGTTAGTGATGTTTTCTGTAAGCGGCAGATAAAACAAGCGTCGGCAAAACCAGCTCCTAACCAGATTAGGATTTGTGAATAAAACAAGGACTTCATGTAAAGTCTGCTCCTCTCCTCCCCAGTTTTATCAGTGTTTTAGAAAAAGCTGTCTTTCTGTCAGACTCCAGTCTCGCGTTCACTTGCCACCGCAAATCAAAAGCAGGCTGACATTAGAGGTTCAATCAGCTGAGAGATTGCTGCTGGATCCCCAAACTGCCATTTGAAAATGTCGTCGGCGCTCCATGAAAGCACCGTGAGAGATATATTGGCTCATTCTGCAGAACAATCATTACTTTTGAAGAAAGATGGGATGGAGGTGATTAAAAGTTTATACCTCCGAAGTCAAACGTGATAAACGACAACTTTAAAGGGATGAAAGGCATAAAAAATTGAGAATTTCTCAATCACTCACTTCATTAGTTAATATTAGCGTATTCTTACTGGTGTTTGAGTGAGAGCGAGCATACACGACTGATTATTCAGGAACAAAATGTCCCTTACAGGAATGATTCCCTTCTGAAATCCAAACCTGTCTGTTACACAGCTTCACATCTCTGATCTGACAGCACTTTGTTCCTCAAATCCTCCAAGTCTCTGAGTCATGATGCCCTCGAGCTCCTCGTTCTCTGATGTGGAGCCACACACTGAAACTAGTGCAGGATGTAAGAAAAAATGGCTGCTTGCAGCAGGGGTCAGTGTTGCTCCACGGAAAGGTGTGAGTCGGGTTTATCAGGAGTTGATCAAGCTGTGCACACGTCACTAAACCTTATCGGAGCAAAGCAATATGGCAGCCACACACACACACACACACACACACACACTTGGTCACCACAGCAGTGCAAAGTGATGGAGGAGAAACGGAACAGACCGTGTGAGAGGTGATAGTAATGGTTTGGTTTTTTTCTCCTTTTACTCACAGAAGAACTCACACGAATCAACACAAAAGCTTCATTTGTCCGCTCTGGTGAGGGAGCAGATGGAGGGAATCCCTGCAAAGAGCAACAAGTCTGGAGCGTAGCCGGAGTCATGTAAGACATCTGTTGGTTCAAACTGTTCCTCTGTTTTGTGGCAAAGTTGTTTTCCGTATGAACTCATGCATGCAGTCAGTAGTAGAGTCACATTGCTGTTGGCCAATCAGAGGCGAGATGTCCGAATACCAGGAAATAATGTGTTAGACTCCAAAGCAGTTTACCAATATCATCAACGACGGCCCGAGTACTGTTCTAGTCCCAAGTACAGGGACAGAAGTAGCTCAGGAGGTAGAGTGGGTTGTCCAGTAATTGGAAGGTTGCAGGTTCAATTCCGACTCCGCTAGAGACACTTAACCTACCTTGCCTGATGGTGGTGGTCGTAGGGACCGGTGGGGCCTGCGTTCTGTCAGCAGTGTGGCTACATTGTTGCTCATCCCCACCAGTGTGTGAATGACTGATTGTGATGTGAAGCGTCTTGGGGGGGGGGGGGGGGGGGGGTTGTAGAAACCTAAGAAGGCGCTGTACAAATACAGACCATTAACTTCTGCAGACTTGGGACAGCAAAGTATCCCACAATGCCGAGGTATTCAATTCCAGGCCTGTAGGGCTGGTATCCAGCACATTTTAGTGGTTTCTCTGCTCCAACATACTTGATTCAGTTCAATTCAATTCAATTTTATTTATATAGCGCCAAATATGTCTGCCAAATCACGACAAGAGTCGTCTCAAGGCACTTCACATAATAAACATAATTAAAGCTGCAAGCAGCGTCGTTCGGCCCTCGCAGCGAAGATGCTCACCCTCCTTCCGCACCCCCTCCGCTCCATCCCCGATGCTCTCCAAACCCAACTCCCCGCCGCTCCGTCCTGGCCGGCAGCACGGGGCACCAGGGCACGTCCACGGACTGAAACGTCCACCACCCTGACACCAAGAAAAGCTAACAGTCACCTCGTCCACACCTCACCCTGAATCAGCATCCCCTCCGAGCCTACCATTATATTACATGTCTCACCACTAGGGCATACTTTATCTTTAGCACACTGTTGGTGTGATGACACAGACCAACTTTAGTGCTTTTCTGCCCATATTTATTAAAGTTTTCGAAAGTTAAAGTTATCTAGGGGGCGCTGTGATCAATTACAGAAAAATCCCATTGAGGTCAGCTTTGGTTGACAAAGACAGTTTTCTGTTATTTTGGCATCAAACGGACGTTGTGTGTGTTATCTAAAGCCAGTGAGCTGAAAGGTGCGGAGCTACAGGGATTTGAACCAACAACCACATCAATGTGTTTGGTGCAGTCATGTGATGTCACAAGCCAATTATAATGCCATTCTGACTTTGACTTTAGAAGTTAATAAAGTTTGAACCCATCTAGGGGGCGTTGTGACCATTTACAAGTAAATGCCATAGAGGTCATCTTTGGTCATCAAAGATGGTTTTCTGTTAATTTGGAATCAATCAAACGTTGCATGGGTCATCTAGAGACAAAAAGCTGTAAGTGGGTGGAGTTAAAGTGAATTGAACAAGTGATCACATACATGTGTTGATTGCAGATGTGTGATGACTCCCACAATGTTTGATGTAGTTTGGAGCTTTTTTGCAGAAGTTACAAAGGTTTTTTGTATCTAGGGGGCGCTGTCCCAAATTTAAGAATTATTCCATGAAGAAGTTTGTAGGTTGTTGACAGTCATTTGTGTGCAGTTTGGTGTGAATTGCATCATGCATGTGTTATTCAGGGCCTAATATCTGTCAGGGGGCGGAGCTAAAGCAATATCAACAACTTACCACAGGACTGTGGTGGGTGCCATTGTGTGAGTACACATAGCAAGTTTGGTGCAGTTACGACCTCGTCTGTAGGAGTTATTACAGTTTTAATGGTGTGTAGGGGGCGCTGTGGTGACATTACACAACTTTCACCAACGGTGTGTGCCTCGTTGAATAAAGGGCATGATTGTTGATTGCCATGTTCAGTCTCGGGCAGATCGGAGGTTGTTAGTGGAAGTTACAGTCAAACGTAAGGTCACGGCGTCACGCCAGAATTCGCCGTGGCATCAAAGCCCTTCCCTTTCTGAAAAGCTATCAGATCTGAATGGTCATTACAACATCATGAAGACAGTGCATGACCTTAGTGTCATGTTGACTAAAGTAGAGGGGACAAATATGGGCATTTCACCATAAAAAAATAGACTTCCTGTAGTCAGGGGGCGGGGCATAGGTGATGTCAGCTGTCCACATTGTCATTGTCTTGAGATGTGGTCAATGATCACACAGACGGAGTTTGATATAGATCTGATCATGCACATGGGAGTTGTTAAGTCAAGTAATGTAATGGCGAAAGGTCAAACTTTGAGGCTTAGCCACGCCCACACCTTTATACTTGTATAAAATCCGACGGTTGAATTTTTTCCTCTATGTCTTAAGATTATATAGCAGGAGTTTGAAGGTGATAGGTGGAAAGGACGACGAGACATCATTCTCCTAATAACGTGTGTGAAAACCACTAAATCGAGTACTTGGACCAAAATGGCCGACTTCCTGTGCGACTTTGCACTTGGCTCAAAGATACTTTTTTTTAGGTCCTGAGACCCCACATTAGTGTACCAAATTTCGTACTCCTCAGTCAAAGCATGGCTTGGGGCTGACAGTTTTAATGGACCTAGGGGGCGCTATTTCAGAAAATAGGCCACGCCCATTTGATGTTCACATGAGATCTTTTGGGGGGCCGGACTAGGATCACTCACAAGACGTTTCGTGACTGTATCTATAGAAATGACGACATGGGAGGCACATGTATGGCCACGGCGGTACGCCTGACTTCGCCGCGTCGCCACAGCCCCGCCTTCTGCAGAAAACACCCATAAAGTGACGTCAAGCAACGCCAACTTCTCTTCAGTTACCTGCTACAAATTCGGGCTGATTATTCGACAGGGCGAATTTTGGAAAATTTCCCAGTAAAACTTGACGTTTTAAGTCCTGAGGGGGCGGGGCTTGTGTGACATCATCCAGCGACCATTCATTTGTCTTCGGGGGGCGATGACGATTATCCATAGAAAGTTACTTTAACTGTAATTCTTTCATTTGTGAAATTATAGCAATTTGAATTTTTTTGGCGAGTGCTCGAACTTTGAGGCCTGGCCCCGCCCCTTCAGTATTTACGAAAAGTCAATTTTATTTTCTCATTTGAAGCGTCCATCGCTTCTGTTCGATGGCACACTATTTTTATGACTATGGTACGAAAAATGACGAAACTGTTCAACCAAATATAGACCCTAGAAATGGCCAAAACGGCTAAAAATCGCCAATTCAACCCAAAATGGCCGACTTCCTGTTTTATATTGACCATGATTGCAAGAGGCTTTTTTGTGCGGACTGTTGAGTAGTACCAGTATACCAAATTTCATAACTGTACGATAAACTAAGCTTTATGGAGAGGGGTATTTTTCACTCTTTAGGGGGCGCTGTCGAGCCACTTTTTTATCAACTTTCACATCGCCAGTGAAATACGTAAATTTCACGCACTTTCTATATTGGGCCAGAATTTGGTGACTTTTTGGATATGCTAAGACCCCCTAAAGGCCACCCAAAGACGCGGAAGAAAAAAGAAAGCGTAATAATAATAATAATTAAAGCTGCAAGCAGCGTCGTTCGGCCCTCGCAGCGAAGCTGCTCGCCCTCCTTCCGCACCCCCTCCGCTCCATCCCCGACGCTCTCCAAACCCAGCTCCGCGCTTGTCCATCCTGGCCGGCAGCCGGGGGCACCAGGGCACGTCTGGCAGAACAGAAAGTCAACCACCCCGACACCAGAAACCGTGAACGGCCTCCTCGTCCACACCTCACCCTGATTCAGCATCCCCTCTGAGCCCAGCATTACACGTCTCACCACTAGGAGATACTCTATCTTTACCACACTGGTGATGTGATGTTCAGTCTCTGGCAAATCGGAGGCTGTTTGTGGAAGTTACAGTCAAACGTAAGGTCACAGCGTCACGCCAGAAATCGCCATGGCATCAAAGCTCCTCCCTTTCTGAAAAGCTATCAGATCTGAATAGTCATTACAACATCATGAAGACAGTGCATGACCTTAGTGTCATGTTGACTAAATTAGAGGGGACAAATATGGGCATTTCACCATAAAACAGAAGACTTCCTGTAGTCAGGGGGCGGGGCTTAGGTGATGCCAGCTGTCCACATTGTCACTGTCTTCAGATGTGGTCAGTGATCACACGGACAAAGTTTGAAATTGATCTGATCATGCACAAGGGAGTTATTGAGTCAAGTAACGTAATGGCGACTGGTCAAAGTTTGAGGCTTAGCCACGCCCACACCTTTATACTTATTTAAAATCCGACGGTTGAATCTTTTCCTCTATGTCTTAAGAGTATATAGCAAGAGTTTGAAGGTGATCGGTGGAAAGGGCGACGAGACATCATTCTCCTAATAACGTGTGCGAAAACCACTAAATCGAGTACTTGGACCAAAATGGCCGACCTCCTGTGCGACATTGCGCTTGGCTCCAAGAGACTTTTTTGTAGGTCCTGAGACACTACATTAGTGTGCCAAATTTCGTGATCCTCAGTCAAAGCACGGCTTGGGGCTGACAGTTTTAATGGTCCTAGGGGGCGCTATGTCAGAAAATAGGCCACGCCCACAAACTTCAGCTGTCCAATTCTATTAGGGGTCAGAGTAGGATCACTCATCAGAAATTGTGTGGCGATGTCACAATGATTGAAGAAATGAGAGACAAACGTATTTCCATGGCGTGATGGCGAATTTCGCCATGCTCCCAAAGCCCCGACTTTATTCGAAACCTGCCAGTACTATAGACCAAGTGACCTCAACTTGTCTGCTGCTATTTGCCAGTGATTGCTGGTGATTGGTTAAAAGGAGTCCAATAGGGAGCTGTGAAAAAAAGAGTGGCGTGGCGACAGGTCAAAGTTTGAGGCTTAGCCACGCCCACACCTTTATACTTATTTAAAATCCGTAGGTTGAATTTTTTCCCCTTTGTCTTAAGAGTCTATAGCTGAAGTTTGAAGGTGATTGGTGAAAAGGGCAATGGTG